GTTCTGTAATCCATCAAGGCAAGGTGTTTGTCAGTGGCTTTACACCACAGCCTCTTCACAGTTTGCACTGCACGTTCTGCTTCACCATTTGAGTGTGGTGTGTGTGGTGAAGATGTTTTGTGGAGGATACCATAGCTCTCACAAAATTCTTTGAATTCCTCTGAGGAATATTGTGTACCATCATCTGTCCGCAAAGTGGTGGGAATGCTGTGTCTGCTAAACTGTGCTTTCAGTTTCTCTATGGCAGTGCGACTACGCAGATCCTTCAGCTCATCTACCTCAATGAATTTGGAATAGTAGTCCACTAGCAGAATGTATTGCTTTCCATCAAATTCGAACAAGTCTGATGCCACTTCCTCGAATGGCAGCTCTGGTGTTTCTGAAGGCTTGAGTGGTTGCCTTGGAAGCTTGTTTTGAAAATCAGCACACTTGCTGCAGTTTCTGGCCATTTCTTCAATTTGTGCGCTCATGCCTGGCCAATATAACACTTCTCGAGCTCGCTGTTTACATTTCACTATTCCAAGGTGAGATTGGTGTATTAGTTTCAGCATGTGCTCTTGCATGGTAGGTGGTACTACTATGCGCAGTCCTTTGTAGATTATTCCATCTGAGACAGCGAGTTGACTTCTTGATTCCCAGTATGGTTGCACTGAGTTGGGCGCTTCTCGCCTATGATCTGGCCAGCCACGTTGTATTATCTGCTCAAGAGAGCTGAGTTCCTCTTTTGTGCGTTCCTGCAGTTCGGTGTATTTCCGGTCACTGACGGCAACAAAGTTGAGCATAGCGACACACTCTAAACCATTTATTTCAGGTTTGTTGTCTGGGAGTTGTGCTCTAGATAGTGTGTCTGGCAACTCCATGTCCTTTCCCTTTCTGTACTTGACCGTGAGGTCGTACCACTGCAACCGCAGGCGCATTCTCTGGATGCGCATTGGAGTGGACAGCAGGGGTTTTTTTAAAATGTCCTCAAGAGGTTTGTGGTCATTATAGACTGTAACATGTGTGCCAAATATATAGTTGTGAAATTTAATGCAGGCATGGACAATAGACAACATTTCCTTCTAAATTTGCGCATAGCGCGTTTCAGCGATCGTGAGGAGTAAGCAACAGGTTGGTTGTCTTGCAGCAGGACAGCTCCCAGTCCGCTGCTGCTAGCATCGCAGAATATCTCAACTGGTTTGGCTGGATCAAAGTACCTGAGTACTGGAGGATGAGTGCACAACTCCTTTAACTTGTCAAACGATTTCTGTTGCTCTGAGTACCATACAAACTCCACATCATTTTTCAGAAGTTGCCTTAACGGGGCATCTACCTCACTGAGATTTGGTATGAACCTCAACAAATAGGTCACAAATCCTAGGAAGCAGCGAACACCATCCCTGTCTATTGGTGGAGACATGTTATGGACGGCTTCCACTTTTGACGGATCTGGCTTAAGGCCATCGGCTGTTATTAGGTGACCTACGTATGGCACTGAAGTTTGGCGTATGTGGCACTTGGTGAAGTTGAGCTTTAAGTTGTAGCTGGTTGCTCTTTCAACTACTTTGCGCAGGATTGCGTCATGCTCTTCCATGGTGGGGGCTGCAATGAGAATATCATCCATGACACTAACAGCTCCTGCTATTCCTTCTAGCATTTCATCCATGATGCGCTGAAATATTTCAGGTGCACATTTTAT